CCCTGGCATGTTGCAGCTGACAGCTGGGGTTTGCTCTTACCATTTTTAACCTTCTCTGTCCAGTCTCTGTTCTTAGAGACATCATCAGTTGCAAGATAGGAGTCATTGGCGCCAGCTTAACTTTCAAAGCTTTTGCCGATATCTGCAGTGATCTCTGTAATAAAATGCAAGCCCAATATTGCTTCCCCTGTGTCTGTCCTAGGGTCTTCCTAAGGACCTCTGTAAGTGAGTTAAAGAAAATGGCAAGGTTCTCCTCTTTGCCCCGGCCAATTCCTTTATCAGAGTTAACTGACTTAGAAATACACATTTTTTAAAAAAAGAAGTACACATTTTTTATGCCTTCTAAAATGTAAATAATGTACCTCATTCTAGCATGATTGAAGTGTTCTTTGGAATTTTCCTGGAGGTTTAGCTCCAGAACTATATCTCCTCCTGTTTCACACACGTCACTGGGTTAATTGGGATAAATAAGGGAGTCAGCAAACTATCGGACTTTAGCTGATTTTTCCATCCGCTGTTAAGCAATTGGTAAGATCAGTGTTTATGTCTCCCCCATGTTAGCTCAAAAGAAATTTTACATCTCTAAATTTGTCAGGGTCTTCTGAGAATGAATGTAGAGTCTAGCCTTCCTATGCTGTACTCCTTGAGCTTTTATATTTTATTATTTCTGGAACAGCAAAGAGGAGATGTTAGGATGATGTTGGCAAACAGTCAGTGCCTAACAAGCCAAGGTGAAACAAATGCTTGGTTCTAGACTATTTTAACCAACTTGGAAAGAAGTAAAGTCTCCTAATAAATTATTTGCTTTTTCTTATTCCTCAGACTGTTAACCTACACGTGTGTGCACATGAACTTTATTGTTTCTTGGGGAGACATCAACCCCACAACTTTTGGGGACTTTAGTCCTTTGCCTTTGAGAGTCTCTCTTATGTATACCTGCTAGTCAGGACAACCACTTGGCCAACTGACTGGAAGAGATCTATATTTGTTCCCATTCCAAAGAAAGGTGACTCAACAGAGTGTGGAAATTATAGAACAGTCTCACTGATTTCACATGCAAGCTAGATTCTGCTGAATACTATCCAAAAACAACTGGAGCAGCACATCAGCAGAGAACTTTCAGAAGTCCAGGCTGGGTTTAGAAGGGGTTGTGGTACTAGGGATATTGTAGCTAATGTTATATGGATCTTGGCTGAAAGCAGGGAGTACCAGAGAAATGTCTGTCTGTGTTTCAGATATGATTATGCAAAGGTGTTTGACTTTATGGATCACAGCAAACTGTGTCTGACTCTAAGAAGAGTGGGAATCCCAGAACATTGATCATGCTAATGCGAAACCTATATTTGGACCAGGAGGCAGTCGTCAGAACAGAGCAAGGAAACATTGCATGATTCAAAATTGGGAAGGATGTATCCCAGGGATGTGTCCTATCTCCACACCTTTTCAACCTGTATGCAGAACAGATTATCTGGGAGGCTGGGTTCTATGAGGAGAAATGTGGCATCAGGATTGGAGGAAGATTCATCAACAATCTGCATTTATGCAGATGACACAACCCTGCTTGCTGAAACTGAGGAGGACCTGAAGTGCTTACTACAGCAGGTCAAGGACTGCAGCCTTCAATATGGATTGAGGCTCAATATCAAGAAGATAAAGATTCTCACCAATGGGCCTATTGGCAGCATCAGAATGGATGGTGAAGAGATTGCTTGGCTCCACAGTCAACAGTCTTGGCACCAGCAGCCAGGAAATTAAAAG